AAGATGTATCTAAACATGTTTTTTCATAAAAGATACAGTACTTAGAAAGAAGGCATCTTTAGATAAAGTTTTTCTTGTACACTGAAAAAAATAATGCAACCGCTTTTAGCATTTAGTAACTTTGACACAATTGCTTTATGTTCTACCCTGCTAACATAAAACAATTGTGTTAAAGTAACTAAATATTATTAAATAAATGTCAAAAACGGTTATATTACTTAGCTCTATTAGGAAAAAATGTGCTGAAATGTTATAATAGGTATGCCCCGCCCCCACCTTTAAATGGTGATTCCACACATTCACCAACATGATACACTAAACTCATAGCAGCACAGGTGGAGTTTCCACTTTAAGCTTCTTGTTAAGTCTGATTTTCTGAGGATAAACTACAATGGGATCTCTGAGGCTGTTATCTGGAAACACATTCATTTTAACTGCTCCAATATAATAGTTCTTAACAGTTATGAAGATGATATATTACTTGATAGCGTAACCCATAAAATCATGTCAGGATTGTAGTTCTCTGCTGAACAGCATCAGTGTAAATACTGAGTAAAATTAATCTGACTTTTTTATTGAACATTTTCATATTAGCTAACATTCGAAACTCATTTTTATAGTACAGGATTTAATACTAAAATGTAAATCATGATTATTTAAGGAAATAATATCTATACAGTCTGTTTTTGTTCATTTTGCATTGTTACTTTTTTTCTCTAATCTGAGTGGTTATCCATGACTCATTCATGCCTAAAGATAATGGGCCTGTTAAACAGTGTGTGTAAGTACTGTTGTCTGCTGCTGCCAAGCCCGGCTCATTGTTTCATTCAGTGTAACCTGGAGCTGTTCTGCAATCATCACTGGCCCGATATATCTCACAGGATTTCCTCCTGTTCAGTTTTCAGGAGAAAAGTCACCATCTGAGCTTATTGGTCTTCCTGGCAGAAATGAAAGTAAGCAGAGGTCAGTTTGTTGGTGAGGGATGAATAAACGACGTAGAAATGTAGAAAGGTCTGTCCGATATGAACTGTAAATTAAAGACAACTTCTCCTTCAAAAAGGGTAATAAATATCATACTTTTTTGCATTAGTGCCTTTGTCTCTATTCTTCAGCCTTGCGAATCCCTGAGGTCAGTGTTTGAATTCACAAAAAGCAGAACCTTGATAGGAAATACTATTTGTTTTGAAAGTACTATGTTGATATAATAAAAGAAAATACATAGAGGAAATGTTAAAGTGAGTTTTTGTTAGAGGTTTTGACTTTAATATTTAAAAGTTATTATGTGGGAAATCCATTTGGCTTTGAAACTGTTGCTTTTCCAGACCACAACACTCATTACAAATAGATACAAATCACTTCCCTCCTTTATCACCAAATTGGAGTAATTCCCAAAGTGTGAGCTCTCACTGCTGGTTGTTAGTTAAATGATGTAATCTCATCATACCCACAGTGCTTTTTGTGCTGTGGTTACTGACTGGCGCCACCAGCTGTTTATCTTGGGGCCTTCAACATCCAGCGCTCTGTGTTGACCTCAGCAGGGCAAGCTAAGACAAATAAGTCAGCAGTATAAAAGATAAACGTGTTCCTGTTTAGATTTACCTTTTTTTTTACGATATTGAGTAAAAGCTATCTTAGTGTTATAAAGGTGATCCTTTCAGACCCACAGTTATTGGTCATATGAGAGTAAAATGCACACACAATATCAATTAATGGATACTTATTTGTTAAAAACAAAAGTCAGACCTCATTTAGCTGAAATAAGACCAAATCATTGTGTTATTATTTAGAAACACTGCAATTGATACACAAATTCTGTTAGCAATAAAAAATACTTCATGATAAATTCAGCATTTCTAGCCGCCGACTATTACCTAGCCCTCTTATATGTGAACGGAAGACGCCTCTTGTGCCTCATGAAGAGTGTGGGAAGAGCTTTGCCATTGAAGATTCTCATTAGTGACCACACAGCTCTTTGCTTCCTGTCTCATTGACCTTTAATGTGACCTCACAGTTTGCCCTCCATACATAAGTCCCCCCAGTGTTGCATTAGCCCTCCTCTCTTGTTTCTCTTACTAAATCTCTTACCCTCCTTTAATGTTCCTTATTGGTTTTCTAATATATTTATATATTTTTTCTAAACCTTCTGTTTGCACATGTTTGGCTGTGTTCTCAGCTATTAGCCTCACCTTCTGTTTTAATGGCCAGAAACACCCATAGGCTGTTGGCATTGCCAAGAGGATGTGGAGGTAATTTAGTGGAAGGAAAAGCCATCATTATCTCATTTCAATCAATTAGCGGGTAGAAGTTCATGCAGGAAGTCAAGCGTATTTAACACAGGGCCATATGGGTGCATGTGCTCTGTGTCTGCTCTCTGTTTTGATTAATCTCAATAACTTTTTGATACCTTTACTTTTTGGCTGGAAATAAATGTATAAAGTTTGTTTGAAGGTCTTTATTTCTTATTTTTATTTTGTTCAAACAAAATTTAATGCTTATTAGAATGAATCTGTCTGACCGTCCGTCTATCTGTCCGTCTATCCGTGCATCCTTCCATCCATCTAGCTATCTGCATAATTAATTCCACCTTTATTACTCTTTGTAATAAATATGTTAACTGTTTTCTGTTTTTTTTTTTTTTTGTCTAATAAGACAATATACAATTTATTTTTGGTCCTTATGTACGACCTGAAACAGACATTTTCTCTCAAATACAATATTCACCTTGTCTCACTGAGGATGGGGGTGGTGGTTTAAAACTCAGACACTTAGATCACTGTCCTGTTTTAATCCCACTGTGCTGGTTTTCAGAAGGAAAAGGGTCTGTTTGGCTTTTGCACCCTTTTGAATTAATGAGTTTGCCTTCTCAGTTAGCCTTACTTGAATGCTGTTACTGCTGAGTCTGAGTTGTTCTGCTGCAGGGCTGGGAAAAAGAATCAGACTGCAGACCTGCTGGAATGTAGGGCGTCTCTCATTCTGTCATCTTTTAGAGCTTTTCTTTGTCCATTCTCCATCCATCTTCATCCATCTTTTACGCATTATAACTAATTCTCTGCAATCATTCATTGCCGTCTGTATTTCTCAAGTTCAGCTGAAGAGCTCCCAAATCCTTCATATGATTTCAGACTCAAATCAGAAAGTAATAAAAAAATAACAAAGATGAAAAGCTGGACGATCAACAACTTTTTCTTTTTGGAGCCTTAACTTTAAGAAGCATTTGGAAGAAAACTTTTTATGTCTTTTTTTTAAATAAAAGAAATACTTGGTGTGGGATTTTTTAGCATGATGGGGCAAATGTTTAACTTTAAACTATAAAATGCATGGGTAAAATCTTGAATTGATTAAAAAAAAGCAAATATGAGCATGTGACTAATTTAGTTACCTGTTTCTAGCACCATAATTTGGAATCATACATAAATCCAAAGTCGTTTATCTTTTTCAAAGACATGGTGAAAGGGAGGCTGGGCCTATGCATGATTTAAAAATTGCAGAAAGTTCTGTTCTCGAAGCATACAGGAATAACTTTCATTTATGCACTTCCTGTTCTCTACACCAGAGGGCAAACCAACAAGCAAGCGATACCTTAGTTCAAATAGTTTGGCCAATTAAAAATGATGAGGAAAAGCATCTCAGAGGTACTATAGGTATTCATTTTTGGCCAGAAGTAATTGGCTATTTTATGAATGCACCGCTAATTGAAGCACCCTACAGGCTTATTTGCAGCCACGTAAAACATACCTAAAAATCTTTTTGTGCTTTTTAATATTCTGCATTTGCATTACCTCCAGCTAAGAAATGTATACATAACTAATCTTTCATTTAATTCTATGTTTTATTTGAATTTCTATTTAGTTTTATCCATTTCTATTTATTTTTTTATTGGACGTAAAAATGTCAATATTAAGAAAATAGCTATGCTTTACAAAATCCAGAG